TCACCAGAGACAGAGTGGGGAGCAGAACAGGCAGATCTGCTGAAACACACTGCTGAGGGGAAACAGTGGGCAGGACAGGAGAGGTCTGCTGTGCCATATGGGTCAGCCCCCTGACTGGGGATCAAAACTCATGTTGTAGTGGCTGTTGATAGCTTTATAGTGCTGAGATTTCACCCCTTATGCTACCAGGGAGGCCTGAGTTATGAACCATTACATGAGGGTTGTAGGTGAGTGTTTCGTAACCCTTTTTTCAATATTCCTCCCCCCCACACACCCAGAAGCTTATTTAGAAAAATTTTCCCTATTTATGCCTTTCCTTCCTCCCTGCCCTTCATGAAACAATACTAAAGAATAAAATTATTTTGACCATTATGCTCTTTTGAAGATCACAACCATTATAATGTCTATTTTTGTTCCATTGATGGCGTTACCACCCTGGTGCATGTCCTAGAATATAACAGAATAGAATAGGAGTATAGGACTGCACATTCTAGATAAATGAAGTTTATATTTTCAAGTTTCCAAACATTATTTTAAATGTTTTAATAGAATTCTTTAAAATATTTTTAGGGAAAACAGGAAAATTATGATGAACGTTTGTTTTCTGTTGTTTTATCTGCATATACTGGTGCTTGGGCCTGTCCTTATCCTATCCTTTTATTAGTCAGTTCTTTCTAACTACCTCTGCTCATTATGCTGTGTCTGATTAATGAGTTGAAAATTGTGTTAGTAAGAATCAGTTGTCTCTATGAGAGGGATGGAGGACTTTTCCCACCATCTTGAGACTGTAGTCTAACTTCTAGGTAACATCTGTAGTAACAGGTGTCTGTTACTACATTTTTTCCTCATAGGTCCTGTTCAAGTGACCAGGATTCAGAAAGACAAGGGGTTTCTGCTTTTGAGTGTTAGGGTTTCAGGAAGTGTAATTGGGTCAGGAAGGGAAAGATCACTTTCAAACTGATAAGTTGCAATCACCAGAGTGATAAAGTATAGATTTGGGGATTAAATTACTGAGTGCTGCATAATATAATAGATACAGAGTGGGTGGTTACTGAAGAATCAGTATGTGAGTTCTTTGGTGATCTTCGTGTTGGTAGAGTTCTGAATTAGTCAGAAGCATTCTTTATTAATTTTAGACATATTTAAAAAGAAAGTTGATGAGCTGGATATACAACATACTTTTGTACTGTGGGAAAGGCATTCCAGCAAGACTAGACATGTTAGCTTATACCAAAGTGTCCCAAACAAGCTCTTTTACTACTTACCTGAAAGTGCGTAAGCCCCATTCTTTCTGTATAGAAGAAATCTGAACCTGTTTAAATGATTTCAGAAATATTTATGTATGTTTAGAAGAATAATAAATTTCTTCTTTCACCTAAAGTTTTTGAGTGGCTGTAGGGTGGGAGCAGCCCTGGCCCTCATGTCTCTAGGGGATTGTGCAATAAAAGTGAAAAAGAGGCGGCCCTCCCTGGTGGCGCAGCGGGTTAAAGCACTGCACTAAGAAACTAAAGCCACTTCCGCATGAGTTCGATTCCCGCCTGCCCCGGAGGCGACCACATGGCGAGGCAGACCTCTCCTGACCCGCCCGCTGCTCCCCTCAGCAGTGTACTTCGTCGATCTGCCTGTTCTGCTTCCCGCTCTGTCTCTGGTGAATCCTCTCACCCTTCGCATCTCTGGCCTGTACCCCAGTTCTGTACGAATAAATAAATAAATCTTAAAAAAAAAAAAAAAAAACTGAAAAAGAGGCATCTGTGACAAGTAGCCTTTCTCCTTGTTTCACTTGAGAACATTTTTTAATGGGTTTTATGGGTGTGCCCCCTCCTCTTGTATTTATTTATTTAAAAATTAAAATTTTTCCTGTTACTGAGGTAACATTGGTTTACCCTCTCTCTTCTGAAATGACTTAGGAGCTTGCAAGTTTTTGAAGAAACAGGAATCACTCATAGTGAATTTCTTCACCGTCAACATGCAGAAGAAGGTGGTGGTCCTCTTGGAGGCCCTCTGAGGTTCCCTAACCCTTGCATCCTCTGGCTTCATACTGACCAGAAAGGTAAAAGCCTCTGGGTATCCTAGGGCCTATTTGATAGAGCTCATGTAATACATTACTAAATATAAGTGCTTAGAACCCTGAGTGACTCATAAGCTCTAAACAAGTGTTTGCTACTAATTTTACTGTTGTTGCCATTACTTGTTGCTTTAGTCAATCAGTGCCATGACAGCGCTACTTGTCTAGAAAGGGAGGAGGTGTACTTTAGGGTAAGATACTAGGAGTTGAGATAAGATGGAGTGGGAATGAGGCAGCTGTCCTGGGAAAGTTCAAAGGAGAAGGAGAAGACAGGCTGCTGTCAAGGGAGAGCTAACTCTCCCCACTATGCCCCCATGGAGGCTGGCCTGGAGGTTGGTCACTGATGAGTCTAGAAGCAGCAGGCTTGAGAAATGGGTAAAATGGTTAACTAGCTAGCCTGATGGTATGTGGCAGGTTTTTTTTTTTTTTTTATTATATTGTTGCTAAAGTATTAACAATGTTCTGAATGCCAAACAGTCAGTAAGCATTCAATGAAGTAGCATGTATTTTATGTAGTATTTGAATTTCAGGGATGAGTATAAGACTGTGCCTGATCTTGAGCTCCTCCCAATCTTGTGGACAGCAAATGATTATATATGATATTGTGATAAATGCAGCACTAGAGAGTGCTGTGAAGCTACAGGGAAGGGATGATATACATTCTCTGGGGGGCTGGGGGTCAAGACCAATTTATAGAGGTAATGTATGAGAGCTAGGTCTGGAAATAAGATTTCTGTGGACTGTATAGTATAGCATTTAAGAACTCAGTCTGTGAGCCAGACTGTCTGGATTCACATTCTTCCTTCACCATCTTCTAGCTACATAGATTCTAAGCAAGTTTACCTTTATTTATTCTTGTTTCACTTATATAAAATGGAGATAATAGTAGTACCTATCATTGTTTCGTGGAGTATTAGTGGAATTAGTAATACATACAGTGTGCCCAGAATGTGCCTCATAAATGTTGAGTTCTCAATAGACGTGACCTTTTTCAGGAAGATAGGCCAAGAAAAAACAGTTGCAGAGATGTGGAAGAGCACCTATAAAATGGTGAAAATTTGTGGTTAAATTTAATTTCAGTTACAGGTTTATAGAAACAGGTAATTTATAAATGAAAGTTTTATAAATAAAAATGTCCTACAATTGAGCATTTCTGTGATAATAAAGCTGTACTTGACCACTCCATCTGAATGATTATGACTCTATTCTTTGTTCCTCTGTCTGCTCAGTAGTTCAAGATATGCCTAAGATAGCTTTGGATTTAAGTTCCTTGCTCCTATCCAGGTTGTCATCTGAGAGCTCTTAAATGTGAAATAACACAAAGTACAGTAACAGTCACACTGGAGAAAAGTAAGAAGGGTATACCAAAGGGCTCTTAGCTGTCTCAAAAGCAAACAGTGGATATACATTCCATGCAAGAATAAAATAATTGTTTTTCCTAATAACTGTAATTTCATGTTTTCTCTTTATATTCTAAGAAGACATATGCTTCATCATGGCTCTTTATTGGAGTTGCAGAGTCTTAAGTGTGACTAAATATGAATTTTTATGTAATTTTTGGATGTTGGACCCGTTGTTCCATTTGGAAACAGTCCTCTTTGTGGCAGTTTTTCTTCATCATGTAAGTGTATAATAGGTACCTAATGCGTCTTGCTGGTTGATGGGCTAATTTGATTCAAGTTCTAGATGAGCGCTTGGATAAGAGGGTGGATGACATGCTTGCTGCTGGGCTCTTGGATGAACTAAGAGATTTTCACAGACGCTATAATGAGAAGAAAGTTGCTGAAAATAGGTGAGGTTTTGGCTATTACTTTGATCTCCTTTCCAGGCCTAACTTACAGTCAAAAGAAGATAAGCATAATACGGCTTTGGGTCTGCTGGTTTATTAGCCTTTGTCCTTGGGATTGGTAAGATTTGTAGGAAGGGTGTTTGATTACAGTTGCAGTTTTTTAATCTGTCAGACATTCCCAGAAATTAATTTCCAAGGAAAGTAACCTGGAACTGGTGTGGTATGAAGGAAGAAGGATTTCAGAGAGAAAATAACTGCTAAGGATCTCAATTTCATCATCTGTGAGCTGAATTGTTCAGCTAGATCATCTACATGGTCCCTGTTAGCTCTCAGATGCAGTGGCTCACCTGTTGATGCTCTCCTGTTCCCAGCCAGGACTATCAGCATGGTATCTTCCAGTCAATTGGCTTCAAGGAATTTCACGAGTACCTGATCACTGAGGGAAAATGCACACCAGAGACTAGTAACCAGCTTCTAAAGAAAGGTGTGAATTCCTCCATGTAAATAGCCTTGGACATCCTTGGGTGACAGAGCACCCTGTGGGTATGGTCTGAGAAAGCTGAGGCTAGCTGGCCCGAATGGCCTTCAGTTCAGAGTTGAACTTTTCATGTACTGAGTGGTCACTGTGTGCTGCAATGGCAGCTGTCCTTTCTGCTGGGCTGGGAGGGCCTTCCTTTTGCCAGGTTGACAGCAGATATGTGTAGGTTCTTATGTATACCTTATGTTTTAGGTATTGAGGCTCTGAAACAGGTGACGAAGAGATATGCCCGGAAGCAGAACCGATGGGTTAAAAATCGCTTTTTGAGTAGTAAGTCTCGTGTTTCTTTTTTACCCCTGTCTCTGTTTTCGGTGCACTATAAATGTTCTCAGCTCACCCAGAGAACACCTAGGTTTCTGGACCTATTCTAGGTCTGTAGGAGAGTCTTGTATAAATGATTGTGAGGGGATATCTTCCTGTGACATCTCTGAAAGCATCTTGCAATGAAGAGAATGTCTTATGCTTTGACCACACAGTACAGTCTGTAGTTAAATAGGAGCAAATAGCAGCAGTATCTTGACAGAGTTGGTGCTCAGGGTTGATTTTAGCAGTCAAATTTCCCTGAGGAGGCTTTTCTAATTAAAATGGTTCCCTGATGGTACAGGGGGTTAAGTTGCAGCACAATAAAGTTATCCGCGGCTGCTTCAGCAGAGTTCAGTTCCTGGCCCCGGAGGTGACCCACATGGCACAGCAGACGTCTGCTGACCTACCTGCTGCTCCTCTCAGCAATGTACTTCATTGATCTGCCTGTTTTGCTCCCCACTCTGTCTCTGGTGAATCCTCTCACTGCCCCTGCACCTCTGGCTTGTATTCCAGTTCTGTATGCATAAATAACAAATCTTTAAAAAAATGATAAAAATGGTTCTTGGAGTAGGTGAGCAGTACACAAAGACAGAATCTTCCCCAGTTCTCTTAGTAGCAGCAACATAGTGTTCAGGTTTATGTTCAACTGTAACTTTAGTTGAGCAGCACTTTTTATTTATTTTTGCATATAGAACTGGGGTACAGAACAGAGGTACAGGGGCGGTGAGAGTATTCATCAGAGATGGAGTGGGAAGCAGAACAGGCTGGCTGACAAATACACTGCTGAGGAGAGCAGCGGGTCAGGAGAGGTCTGCCGCGCCATGTGGATCACCTCCTGGGCCAGGGATCGAACTCTTGCTAAAGTGGCTCTAGCTTCTTGTTGTGCTTTAACCCACTGCGCCACCAGGGAGGGCCTTGAGCAGCACTTTTAAGAAAAGGGGGAGGAAATTCTTGTTCTTTTAACCCTAAATCTGCTGCTATCAATATGTTATAGAGTTGTCAAGTAGTTATTCTTTCGTTTTTGTAGATCAAGAAAAGGAGGCTTAGAGAAGTTTAATAACTTGCCAGAACCTCCTAGCAGAGTATTGAACACGGGCCTAACTCCAAAGTCCACATTCTTCATAACATTCTTCTTATTTCCTTCAGCTATAATTTTTTTATTATAATAGTTTAATTTTACATCATTTTATGCCGTTTTCCATCTCAGTTGTAATCCCCGTGGGTTTCCCATCACCGATTCACCTGTGTGCCATCACCATAATCCAGTGCACTTCAACCACCCCCCATTTTTGATCCCATTCCCCAGTCCACCCCCATAAAATATCTCTGGTATAGTTGTTCATTATTATTGTTTTCTCCCCTGGTCCTTTATGCTCCTGCTATGAGTGAAACCATCCGATATTTTTCTTTTTCTTTCTGGCTTATTTTACTAAGCATGATCCCTTCTAGCTCCATTCATGTTGCTGCAAAAGGCATGAGTTTATCTTTTTTGTTTGTCCTTCAGCTATAATTTTAGCTGGACAGCATTAGTATTGGGCCTTGGATAAGAAATTGTGTGGTTATGAACTTAAAGGAGAATAATTTAACGGAGATTAAACATGAGTGAAACCCCATCGTTATCTTGTGGGCACATTTTTAATAGGCTTCCAAATCATCCATTATTTACCTTTTGCCATTAAGCTTCTGCTTGCAGTTACAGATAAGGACAGCTTAGGCCTTCACCCCTGCTCCCAGTGTCTTGGAACATAAGCACCTTGGTAAATGTGTTGACCACTGTACTGCTGAAATTCTCTCTTGCTCTCACTCTCCCGGAGTGCTCCTCTCCAGTGTGGTTCTGGTGCCAGGAGGCTCTTTACATATTATTCTACTACCTAGCTTTCTCGGCATGTGCTATTAGATAGAAGGAGTCTTTGCGTCAGCTGAAATTGAAGTTCCCCTCTGTAGGTTTCTAATGCAGCATCTCCTCTCCCTGGGGCTGACAATTAGTCTGTAACAAAAGATTTTTTTTTTTTTGTAATGGTTTAGAACTTCCTTCTGTGGTGAAGCCACAACAACACCCCCATCTGAGTCAGGAGGGGTTGAGGGCATAGTGCATCGTGTGCCCATTCCTCATTCATGTGTATGCCGGCTCGGGCCCTGTGCTAGAGTGAAAGGCACAGCTGCCTTGTAAATCAGGAGCTGAGTGTGATTGGCCAGGGCTGGTCTGCTGGGATAGGGTTCTGGCAAGAAGCCAGAGGGACTTCCCCACCCCAGCTTGGCCTTGGACCCAAGCCAGAAATAGCAGCTGGGAGCCGAGAACTTGTTGAAAGGTGCTTAGACAGGGCACAGAAGCCCAACAAAAGGACTTAGAGGGGAAAGGAAAATATAGAGTGGCCTGGAAACAGGTGCAGAGCTTACCAAGGCCAGGTGTGCTGTGGATGCTGCATGCACCCTCCCGGTCTCACCTTTCCATGTGGCGGCAGGTGCAGCCCAGTCCCGTTTATGAAGAATCTTCTTTGTGGTTGGCCCAATCAAAAGACCAGCACCTGCCAGCCGTTGGCATCCCAAGGACTTTGATGTTTTTGTCTGTGTGGCGATGCTCTTTGCCTGTAGGCAGCCAACGTAACCTAACTGCAGAAGATCAACTGGTGTGTCCGTAGACTGGGGAAGCTACCAGATAAACTAATTCTGGCTGATTCAGGTGGATGAAATGCCTGTAGCTATACTATTGGCTACCTCCAGTCACATCTCCATTCAGAAGTAGTTACCAGAGGGTGTTCTTGAATACCCCTCTAGCTGTTTCCTAAAAGAAGGGGCTCACCTGCTTCAGTTCCTAGGCTTTATAGTTTTCAGAATCAGCGGCTCATTAACTGAAACTGTTCTGGCCCTACATTGGGTATGGTATCAGTGAGTTTTGTGAATGCCAAACTGCCGAAGGGATATGCACAAACTTGAGATTAGTGTCTGTTCCTAAAGAAAACTCTGTTACCACAGAGAGTGGTATATATAGACTGTAAGCTGATACAGTACTTAGAGTAGGCATTTATGTTAAATAGTTACTTTTTTCCTCCTGTGATATATATAGTGCTTTATTGTAGCTCACACAGTGTACTATCGCTATAACCCTACTCTGTTTTCCTGAGTGATATAGAAGGTCCTATACCCGACTCTCTGGATTATACAGCTAGACTTGTTGGCCTTAGGCCAGTCAGTCATCTTGGTCTTTCTTGGATTGTATGTAGTTTTTGGTTCATGTTTCTGGTTAGAATGAATGACATAGAATGTTTATTTCTTTGGCCTGAGAATTTGGAGAAAGGAGCAGAACAGATTACGTTTTAGAGGCTGACTTCTCACTCTTTTTTTTGTCATCATTAGGACCCGGTCCCAGTGTTCCCCCGGTGTATGGCCTAAAAGTATCTGATGTCTCCAAATGGGAGGAGTCTGTCCTTGAACCTGCTCTGGAAATCGTGCAAAGTTTCATCCAGGTGATTATTAAACATGGTACGGTCTGTTTGGTTTTTGGACAGCTTTCCTTAGCTGACACCTTTGTTGCTATGTCAGGGAACCTTTTCCATGGAGTAGCACAGAAGGGCTGGCTGCTTTTCAGTTGCTGAAGGCTGCATTTCTGCTTTCACATAAAGTTTTTGCTAAAGTCTCTTTACAGCCCACCTGCTCTCAGGATGAGAAAAGGAACCAACCCTAGGAAAATCCTCCTACCTTTGCTATCAGATAATAACCACATCTTTTTAAATTCTTCTTGCCTGTCCCCCCTTGTTCTTTCAGGGTCTTAAACCTACAGCAGCTCCAATAAAGATGTCATGCAATGAAACTGAAAACAAAAGAAGTTATCATACATGTGAACTCTGTGATCGCATCATTCTTGGGGACCGAGAATGGACAGGTAGAGTGTAGGGAAAGCATGGCGATGTCTGGGAGGGTGGGCCCCACAGACTCAATGAGATTCAGGGTCTTTGCAAGGTTTAGTGCTTACTGGAAAAGGGATGGCCAGATTTCTCTAAGAGTCTGTGCTCACATTTCATGGAGACTTTCCCAAACTGGGAAAATATCTTGTATTCTCAACTTTAAGGGAACATCATATGCCTTCAACTTGAGCTTAAGTAGGTATTTTATACCGAAAGGTTGGCAGCCAGCTTCCCAGAGCTTCTTTAACTTTGGTGATCCTGCCTGATGGGAGTTTCTTGACATTTAGCGTTTGGATCTCAGCGGGGGTAAAATATCAGTAGGATTATATGGGAAATCAGTAGGCAGCTCACCGAGAGACCATTAGGAAACAGAAGCAACTGGGAGGGACAGGTAGTGCATTTATTCCTCAAGAGGACATTCTTCACAATTGGTGTCTCCTGTCAATTTTAAGTTAATACCTTGAAATGGTGGTGTTAAAACGATGTGCTGAAAAGTGTTAAGGGGAATTGTGACAGTAAGGGAAATTGTGTAAAGAAATAGTCAAGGATAGTATTTTTCTTTTTAAGGTATCCCTGACTAACCCAGGATCAGCTCTGTGATCACATTGAACTCCCCTGTCAGATTTCTATAGTTATCCAATCAGACTCCAGAGGACCTTTGCCTCCAAGTCTTGAATTTACATTGCATTTAAAAACTCATTCGTTTTAGGCATATTGGGGCTTGTAGTTCACCCAGCGGCTGGAGTCCTTCTGTTTAGAGCACTGCTTTGCATGGGATTCTCATAGAAGTAGATTTTTCTCACCATCCCAACCAGTAGAATGATTAGTTCTCTTAACTGGTAACTCTGGCAAAATGAACTCCATTGTCAGAGACTGGGGACGGCTGTGATTGCCCGAGCAGCCGAAGAAGCCTCGATTGTCGTTGGTTTATAATGATGAAAGGGGCAGAGAAAGAGAGTGTCGGATTGTTTTTTCTAAAGGAAACTTAGTGATTCGATTTGTCGAATGTCCTTCAGGGATAGCCTTAGAGAAGCAACATTTGTGAGCCTTTGTGAGCTTAGCTTGTGTAAGCCCTTCTATAGTGCCATCTGTCAAGCCCTCGCTCCCATCTCCTGCTGCCATGGAGAGCCTGTCCAGAAGCCCATTTTTTGCCTTAGGCACTAGCTGGAGAACAAAGCTGACTTTTCTCCCCAACTAAACTTTTCTTTGATTTCTAACCTCCTCCTTAGTTATTTTTGTTTCTAAACTCTTTAAAATTTTTTAATAAATATATAAAAGAGAACTTAATCTAGTCTCTCTCTTTAGGCATACCCAAGTAAGATTTGCTTGAGAAAGAACAGGTTAGTTTTTAAAGGGAGCATGTGTGAGCTCATCAGAGGGCTGGGACTGTCTGGGGTGAGAGGTCAGAAGTTGGTATCAGGCAGCAGTGGCTTTTCAGTTTCACGGCTTCTGTGGACCCTCAGAAGTGACAGAGAAGAATGCTTCTTGTTATCCCTGTGCTTGGAGAATATGAGCCTCGCAGGTTAGTCTTTCAAATGGCTTATCTGAGCCAGGCATACGGTGTCCCTGTTCCAGCAAGGAAGAAGTGGGAAAGGCAGTGCTGAGTGCTGTAGGCCTGAGGCAAGACAGATTGAAACAGGATTTAGATTTGTGACTTTTTCACTATGAGAGTTCAAATGTATCTGTAACAGGAAGCAACCCTATATTGGAACCCCAATTCTGGGAGGTTGGGTCTCTTAGTAAACCAGATAGCTAACCCTCTGTGTGATTTTGGACAGATTTTTAAGACGTCTGTGAACTTCATTTTCTTTCTGTGAAAAATGAACTGAATAGTGCTGTCCTGAAAGATTGTTGTGAAGGGTCAGGATATCAAGCACCTTGTAGGGTTCAGTTGATACATGTTTGGTTTATCTGGTTTGCTAGTGTGCTGCCGAGGGTGTGAAGAAAAAGGAATCTTGTTAACTGTTGGTGGGAAAGTAGATTGTTCCGGCCCCGTGGAAAGAAGTGTGGAGGTTCCTCAAAAGACTAAAAGTGAATTTGCCGTACGACCCAGCAATTCCACTACTAGTTATCTTTCCAAAGAGCACAAAAATATTGGCCCTCCGTGGTGGTGCAGTGGGTTAAAGCACAGGATTGTGAAGCTGGCTGCGGCTGCTTCGTGCAAGTTCCATTCCCACCCTGGAGATGACACATGGCGCAGCAGGCCTCTCCTATCTCCCCCGCTGCTCCCCTCAGCAGTGTACTTCCTCATTCTGACCATTCTGCTCCCCACTTCTGTCTCTGAATCCTCTCACTGCCCCTGCACCTCTGGCCTGTACCCCAGTTCTGTGTGCATAAATAAATAAAATCTTTGAAAGAAAAAAAAAAGGCACAAAAATATTAAATCCGAGAGGAAATCTGCATGCGTGTTTATAATAGCCTATTTACAAAAGCCATGGTATGAAGACAACCTATCCCAGAACAGATGAGTGGGTCAAAAAAATGTAGTGTGTGTATATATATATACACAATGGAATATTATCAGCAATCAAAAAAAGATAAACTCATGCCATTTGTGGCAACATGGATGGAACTGGAAGGGATTATTCTAAGTGAGAAAAATCAATACCAGTGGATTCACTTACATGAATCTAGAGAAACCAAATGATCAGACAAACTGTAAGGCTGTCTCTTGAAAGCAGACTGTAGATCTGAACACATAGTGAGGGTAGGGAGAAAGGAAAGAGTAGAGAACAGTGGAGGAAGAAGTGTGGTCGAGCAGGGTGGAAGACTGGCACTGTGGTGGTGGGAAAGCGATGGGATTGCACCTGAGGGAGGAGATTCTGCATTGTGAAAAGATAAACAAGTGTGTTTAAAAATAAATAGGAAAAAACGTTAAATGCAAAAAGCAGCTATTATCATTGTGTGTATTAATCCTGTTGTTAGAGAATTGTGTAGTTAATCTTATGCCCTGTCAGGATTAAGTCTAGGAAATTCTAATGATTTTTTGTTTGTTTTGGTTTTGTTTCAGCACATATAAAGTCCAAATCCCATGTGTACCAACTGAAGAAAAGAAGAAGACTGGACTCAGATGCCGTCAGCCCCACAGAAAGTCAGTGTATTTCCCTAGACTGTGACAATCAGCTTAAAGAGAAGGGATCCCCAGGGCAGAAGGATGGAGAGCTGAAGTCCAGTGTTTAAGAAACAAGTCCAGTGGCCTTTGGAAAGGTGGCAGGAGTCCAGTTCTGGAGGGAGGGCTGTGTCTGTCTCAGTCTGGCCTGAGGAGTGCTGTGCAGAAAGCTCCCGCCATTTTCCTCCATTCAGTGGTGTGGTTTTTTGTTTGTTTGTTTGTTTGTTTTTTAAAGATTTATTTATTTATACAGAACTGTGGTACAGGCCAGAGATGCGGAGGGTGAGAAGATTCACCAGGAACAGAGTGGGTAACAGAACAGGCAGATCGACGAAACACACTGCTGAGGGGAGCAGCGGGTGGGTCAGGAGAGGTCTGCCACGCCATGTGGATCTCCTCCGGGGCAGGTGGGGATCGAACTCAATGCGGAAGTGGTTTAAGCTTCTTAATGCAGTGCTTTAACCTGCTGCGCCACCAGGAGGGCCTTCAGTGGTGTGGTTTTTAAAGTTTCATGTTCTCAGTCATGAAACAGCAGGTCTTGTCAGCTACTCATGTGGCTGTTATGTCTGATAATAGTGAGTTGGGAAGGGAATTTATTAGCCTTAAAGGATCCATTTTTTTTAAAGCACAGATTGCCATTTTACTTTCTTGAGGATCTTTTATGTCATAAATACCAGGGTTCACTGTATCCATTAAAAAACAAGCTTTGTGTCTCAGATCTGGCTAAAAATAGCACATTTTTGGACACTTACAAAGGACTTTGTGAGCCACAAATCAGGAGTTCTGGATTTGAGCGAGTGGTAGGAAAGAAGCAGCTCCATAAGAGAGCTAAGTGACCCAAACCACTGCTGGAAGTCTGTAGCAAAGGAGAGAATCAGATCACGGTAATTGTGACGTGGGACTTGAAAACTAGTGTTTGGCATTTGTTGAGCTCCTCTTGTTTGATAATTATTGTCACTGCTCTCTGTTGAATGAGGAATCTATTTTTATTGAAAAGTAAATAAAGAAAAAGTTTGCAAGATCCTTTGTAGTCCTTAAATATGAGTGAGTGAATGAGTGAGTGAAAGAATGTATGGTTTCATGTTTATCCTATACAATATGCTCTTGTTATCAACACGATTGCTTTTTCTCAAACTTAGCACTCTTCGTGTGAGTAGGCTGTCATTTTTAAAGCCAGTGTTTATGGAACATTTAGTATATTCCTAGAAAATATTTGGAGAAGGACTTAGAGATTTAAGTTATCCCCAGTTGGACCTCTCTCTGGAGTGAACTTTGCTGGCAGCAGTGTTAAGTATGTATATGTCATATATCTAACAAAGTTAAGTGAGCATGCAGCATGGTAGTGTTGCATCAGCACCACCATTCCCAAGACTTTATCACCACAAACAAACGCCCTTCCCATTAAGCAGTAACTCCCCATTCAAGCAGTATTTTATTTGTTGAGAATCAACTATGAGAGACCTTAGTGTAGGGAGAAATCAGAAATAAAATGAGATGTGATTATTGTTTTCTAGAAGCTTTCAAATAATGTTTATATACATAAACAATCATTCTAGGTAAGAGAAGTCAAAGGCTGGAAGGCCTGTATAGAATATGGTGGAAGAAGGGACATTTCTGCTGGACCTTAATAAGAAATTTATTGCAAGCTAAGTAGACAAGGAGAGGACAAAGTAAAAGAACTATCAAACTTGATTAACCTCTTTCTAAACAGTGCTTAAAGTTCATCTCCCTCACCCACGTTTTTTTAAAACATTTTTAAAAGTACTTTTTTTAGATAAAAGTATATTTCACTAAAGTTGTTACATAGTTCAGAAATCAAAGTGACAACAAAAGACATTCAGTGAGAAATCTTGCTCCTGTCTCAATCCCTTTCTTCCCCCCAGAATAGTCATTTATTAGTTTCTTACATATCTTAAGTTGTTAAAGGCACAAACAAACAAACAATTTACAAGTATATCTTTGTATTTTCACCTCTTAACTGAAAAGATAGCATATAAAGTCTTAATCTGTTGCCTTACCTGGTGGTAATACAGGATGGCAATACCTGGGGATGTATGGATTTCTCCTAGGCAGGTCTCTGGTTTTTAACCTTAGACAACTACCTGAGAGCCCCCAAGCTGACCCCAGGCTATAAGCAGCTGAACTTCATTCAGCTTCCTGGGAATTCTCAGCCGGCAGCCAGCTCCTCCATTCTAGAACTTTCTATGTTCCAGGTGCTGGACTAGATTTGGGGACACAGTGGTGAGCAAAAGAGTCCACACTAGTCAAATAATTATGGCACCACAGCTGCGGTAGCTGAGGACTTGCCCCATCTCGAGAGGGAGTGGGCATGCCGTGGAGAGGCGTGTGCTAAGGCTTTCGGGACAGGGGTCTGGGTCAGGCCTGCGTTTGAGGTGCCATGCCACTTGAACTGGGCTTCTCAAATTCCAGTAGCTTCTCTTCACCTTCCTCCCCCAATCTGTGAGATGGGCTGTGCTCTCAGCTTTTGCACCTTACACACTTACCAGCTTTGAATCTGAAGAGTAAATTTTCCTCTGGTCATAAAAGAAATGATCATTGTACCGACCCCTGATGTTCTTTATATTAAGCATGATGTAATTTTCCCAATTGATTTATGAATTACTTCAGGAGTTAGTTGGGTAGAGGTGTTTCCACTTTAAGTGGAGCTAAATACTTTCTGTGAGCCGAGCAGAGCCCAACATTTTATATACATATTCTTCTCTCACAGCCCTGAAAGGGAGATACTGTTTATTTTCCAGTTACCAGTGGGGAAGCTGAGGTTCAGTAAAAGTGCAGCTAGTAAGTGGCAGCGCTGGGACTGAGGTGAGACAACGGATTCACAACGCAAGCTGTTGAGCACTGTGTTAAGCTGCCTGGTTTTAGGGTGGAACCTTAGTCTCTTAAATGCTCTTGACTCAAGTTGCTAAATATGTTCTAAAGCTTAAAAAAGTTTCACTAGACTAGCAGGAAAAACTAGTTTCCATAATCCTATCTCAGAAAACCTTTAATTCTTCTAGCTGGAATACCTGGAACTGTCATTGTTTTTCCTATGACAGTTAGAAATATCTTGAAAGAAAAAAAAAAAGTACCTAATGAAACACCTAAGTTTCAAACACTGTGCTCTTCTTAGAAACTGTAAAGTCGGCAAGATGGAATTTCTTCACCAGCAGCAGAAGCCTTGGGGAGAAGACAGAACTTCTAGAAATCTGTTTGGTACCTTGGTCTGAGGCATTGTGCTGAGGTAATTTCTCCTCTGCCTGCGACCTTTCTGAATGACTGCTATTGAGGGTCGGGAAGGAATGCAGTTCTTCCTAGAGATTATTCAAATACAGAGATGAAAGAACCCTTAGCATCTTCTTGGGTAGACAGTAAACACACCAAATGTGTACGTTCCACAATTACAAAGTTGTGGCAAAGCCAGGAAAAACCTCAGGTCTGTCACTCAATTCTCAACCACTAGTAAATCTCCAAATAGTTTTGTTTGGAGTCAGGGAAGGATCATGAGAGCAGCTATGAGCTCTTTGCTTCAACCTGGAGTGAGGATGAGAAAGGCCATTTTTTATCCTGACCTCAGCTAATCCCTTTGCTATAGGCCCAGTGCCCAGCTTATAGCAGTGCTATCTCTGGTAATTTATTTCTCACTGTGAGCTGTTAGGCTCACCTAGCTCTGTCAGTAAGAGCTAAGCTCTTTATTGAGATGTAATTGACATGTAAACATCTCTACTAGGCTTTATACAATGTCTACAGTGCAGACAACACATTTAAGTAGGTGGGAGATATTTTGAAAGGAGCTATATTCTCAGTTTAAAGCATTTTACTTAATTTTTAGTGCTAAGCAAGAGAACAGTTTATCTATAGTCTGGGTACATAGTTTGATCCTTTGTAACTCTCAGCAATTGTTTGTATTCTTAGCGTCAGTCCACATTTGATAATGGATTTTTTCTCTTTAAAACAACATAACTAGGGGCCCTCCCTGGGTGGTGCAATGATTTAAAGCACAATACTGTGAAGCGGTCTGCAGCCACTGCAGCATGAGCTCAATCCCCAGCCAGGGAGGTGACCCACAGGTCACACAGCAGACTCTCCTCTCTGTTCCCCTCAGCAGTGTATTTCAGTCAATGTGCCTGTTCTGTTCCCCACTCTGTCTCTGGTGAATCCTCTCACTGCCGCTCCCCCCATATCTCTGGCCTTGTACCCCAGTTCTTATAGGCATAAATAAACAAAACTTAAAAAAAAAAAAGATACTAGAAAGCAAGCTTTTATGAATGCAGTAAACCTATTTAGACATCAACTATCTGTTGAGTTGATTGCATGAAATCTAAGTGGGTTGCTAAATGATCTCCTTTATTTGTTAAGTAGCCTTTAACCAGGATGAAAAAATTTGGGGGCTAGTAGCCACAGGAGATTTCATTATTTATCACCTACTTGGGTGGTTAGAAACATTTTTTTTTTTTAAGTTGGCTAACTGATCACTTGTGATACTATTCTGAAAATGTACAAAGAAGAGAGAATGGAAGCTATCCAGACTCAGAATAGCCTTACAAACAGTTGTATTAGAAAAGGGTAAGCCCTGTAACAAAGACACTTACAGTCTTTAATACAGTGACTAAGAGAAACAAAGACGTTTGTTTCTCACATAACAGCTCTGAAGGGAGTTAACATTTCTGAAGTGAACAGTCTAGGTCAGTGGGGCAGGTCCAAGCTGTCCCAGCGGTTACTCAGGGACACGGCTTCCTTATATCATGTTGCCTCTCCAGCCCGGCCATGGTCCAGGCTGGCTGATCACTGGCTCCAGCCGTTAGGAAGGGGAAAACACACAGGGCAGCACACATATGGCCTCCAGGCCTCACCCTCCAGTGGCACATCCCCTTCTCCTTGCCCTAGGCCAGAGCTTAGTCATGTGGTCACCCCCAGGAGCCTGAGAAATAGAGTGAAGCCATGTGCCCGCAAAAGGGAGAACAGATTGTGGTGGCAACTTGCAGTCGCCACTAACTCAGCCTGGTGGAGAGAACATCAATTTACAGCCTGGCTTAGTTAATCAGCGCTGATAACTTGCTAGGTGCAAGTCTCTTTTCCCAGTCTGAGAAATCAATAAATGGTATGAGCTCTGAAATATTTTTAAAAATAAGGCTGGAAAAAGTCTTCAGCTGGTGAGATTTTAAAACAAGACTAAAGAGAGCATTATAGGGAATATGAGACTGAATGAGCCTCAGGGTCTGGACAGGGAGGAAAGACAGGAGGTATTTCGGCAGCAATGTGGGTCATCTGAACTA